AAAAACCTCTCCAAAAAAAAAAAAAATGTGGATTCAGAGAAATGATCAGACATTTACATTTTCTGTACCACTTCATAATCTGAGTTGATCTAGTGATATCCAAATATTTCTAATAGAATTTATAGATTATCCTGTAAATTCACAAGCACCTGCACTTATATTATTTCATTTGGTCCATCCCAGAACATTGTGACCTAGACTCTCAGCCGTGTCTAGCATTTGCTCTTAGGTTATCATAGCTCCCACTCATGTTCTCATCGCAGTTCACATGCCAGTAAGATTGGTACTTGTAGACCACAGGGCATTCCACACTTCTGTTTCTTTGGCCACGTGGTTCACTTTGCAGAAAATATTTTTCCATCACCTTGTCTACCCAGGAAACTTCTATTTATACTTCAAACCCCTCTCCCCTTTTTTTGGTCCCCCAGGCAGGATGAGCAGGGCTCGCTTGAGCTGCTCTGTTGTTGAGAAGTCTCTGTGCTGTTCTGGATGGGCTGGATAAGGTAGATCTACAGGCTAGGAGGGGTGAGCTAAGCTCAGTTCCACTCTGCCTCAGACATCCCGGAAGGAAAATGGGTGGTGTCCAGAGAAGGTGGTATTCATGTAAACGTTTGCTACTGAATTAGTGACCAGGGTGTTTAACTTGCCCATGTACATTTCTCAGCAATTCCTTGAGGTAGTTATGGTTATCTCCTCATTTTATAGATGAGAAAACCAAGGCATAGGAGGCTTAAATGATTTACCCAAGGTCATCACCTAGTAAATGCTGGTGCCAAGATTTGAACCCAGTGCAAATTCTTCACTCACCCTACAATTTTGGTAACATTGGTACATGCCTCATAGCATAGAATTAAGTGAAATAATATGTGTCACATGCTCAGTAATTACTACCTAGTGCATGAATCAAGTAGAAGTATTATTTTTATTTCCTATGGTACAAAGCCTTCTGTTTTCCTGTTGTTTCACATAGGAAGTAGGAAGAAAATAAAATTAACAGGACACCTCCAGCCCCTACACACACAAATAAGCCCTCAGTGTGTTGTAACACTTTCCTATTGAAAGAAGTCAGGGGCTCTCCTTTTCTTGTTTGAAAGAGCAGAATGCAGAGAGGGCAGGATACAAGAGCAAAATTTACATCTGGAGGTGAGTTCTAGAGGTCAGAGAGGGAGGCTGCTCTAGATGGTCTAGGGCCCTTGGCATCCTCAGCCCACATATTTAAGTGCCATGTGGTCCATGTTCAAACTTCCCATGCAGTTTGTGCTGTTTCTCTTGTTTCCTTTTTGAGCCTACACTGAGTGATAACATGCCTCAAAGAATTTAAAGACTATTTTTTTGGAACAGCAAGTGGTGTAATGGTTATGTCACTGGACCGCCACATGCCCAACAGTGGTTCGAGTCCTGGAGGCTTGAAACTTACACTGGGCACATGTGTGTATATGCCCAAAATCCCAAGAAGAGAATGGAGGAGCAGAGATTGTGGTGTGGCCATCCCCCCTTGGGGGAGGGCGATTCTTGCTTTCTGTCTCTTTGATGACCACACATGCTTTATAGCAAAAATATCTCTTAAAAAATTTAAAAGATTATTTTTACAGGAGAATTTTTGCTTTAATCAATATGCTTGACTATTGTCTCTGGGAAAAAATTCTCAACAAGATACTTGCTAACTGTATTCAACAGCATATAAAAAAAGGTTATTCATATCACGACCAGGTAGGCTTTATTCCAGGGATGCAAGGGTGGTTCAACATAGGCAGAATCATAAATGTAATACACCACATTAACGGAAAGAAAGATAAAACCATATGATCATGTCAATCGATGTGAAAAATGCATTAGGCAAAATACAACATGCCTTTATGATCAAGACTCTCAGTAAAATTGGCATAGAAGGACTGTTTCTCAACATAAGAAGAGCCATTTATGAAAAAACTACAGCTAACATTATACTGAATGGGGAAAAGCTGAAAGCTTTTCCACTAAAAACGGGTACAAGACAAGGCTGCCCACTTTCTCTGCTTCTATTTGATATAGTACTGGAAATTCTAGCCAATGTGATCAGACAAGAGAAGGAAATAAAAGGTATTCCAATAGGAAAAGAAGAGCTGAAATTATCTCTGTTTGCAGATGACATGATTGTATACATAGAAGACCCAATAGTATCCATGAGAAAACTTCTCGAAGTAATAAATGCATACAGTAAAGTGGCAGGCTACAAAATTAACTTACAAAAATCTATAGCATTTCTATATACAAACAAGTAGACAGAGACAGAATTGAAGAATGTAATTCCATTTACTATAGCCACAAGAAGTATAAGATACTTAGGAATAAAACTGACCAAAGAAGTCAAAGACCTCTACAAGGAAAACTATGAAAACCTTAAAAAGGAAATAGAAAAGGACACTAAAAAGTGGGATGACATTTCATGTTCCTGGATTGGCAGAATCAATATAATAAAAATTGCAATCCTACCCAAATTCATCTACATGTTTAATGCAATTCTGATAAAATTACAAGAGACATTCTTCACAGATCTAGAAAAGACAGTCATAGAATTTGCCTGGAACCATAAAAGACCCCATTTTGCTAAAGCCATCCTGCACAAGAAGACTGGAGTAGGTGACATCTCACTTCCTGACCCCAAAATACATTACAAAGCTGTGATAATCAAGACAGCATGGTATTGGCACAAAAATAGACATGAAGACCGATGGAACAGAGTAGAGACTCCAGAAATAAACCCAAAAACATACAACCAACTCATCTTTGACAAAGGGTACCAGTCAATCCAGTGGGAAAAGGGTATCCACCTTTTAGCAAATGGTACTGGAAAAACTGGGGATCCACCTGCAGAAAGATTAATCTGAACCCCTATCTGTCACTATTAACAAAAGTCAACTCAAAGTGGATCACAGATCTAAACCTAAGACAGCAAACCATAAAACTACTGGTGGAAAACATGGGGGAAACCCTGGGAGACATTGGGGTAGGCAAAGACTTCTTAAGCAAGACCCCCAAAGCACAGACAATAGTCCCCCAAATAGACAGGTGGGATTACATCAGATTAAGAAGTTTCTGTACAAAAAAAACAAATAATAAGTGCTGGAGGGGATGTGGTGAAAGGAGAACACTCTTACACTGTTGGTGGGAATGTAAATTGGTCCAGCCACTGTGGAGAATGATATGGAGGTTCCTCAAAGACCTTCAAATAAAACGACCATATGATCCAGCAATTCCATTCTTGGGTATCTACCCAAAAGAGAGGAGAGCACTTAGTTGGAAAAGTGCTTGCACATCTATATTCATTGCAGCCTTATTCATGATCACTAAGATATGGAACCAACCCAAATGTCCACAAACAGATGAATGGATTGAAAAATTGTGGCACATATACTCCCATGGAATACTATTCAGCCCCTCCCCCCCCCAAAAAAGACCCTGAAATTTGATAGAAAGTGTACAAATATGGAAGATTTGTTGCTGAGTGAAGCAAGTCAGGCTATAAAAGAGGGACATTGCATGTCTCCACTTAACATATACTGACTGTCCACACTCCATAGTAGACACTGAAAGACTAGAGGACATAAAAGTATTAAAAATTGTAATGGACACTAGATTCGGACTCTTCTCACAAAGTGGAAAGAGAGTGTGAGAGGGGAAGAACATAGGAAATCTGGGGGTGGGGGGAATGGAGAGGTAAGACACTTGTTGGACACAGATAAGATTATTTTCTATTGACATGGATATGTAAGGTGGTCTCAACTGGGCTGGACTGAGGTGTATATCATGCTGGGTAAAGTCTCTTTACATTCTAAATGATGTATAGCAATTTAATGTATGAATAATAATACAAAATATATAAATAAAAAAGAAAAAAATTGATGAGAGTTTTCTCCAAAAATTCTGTTAATTTAAATTATAAAGGGAAGTAGATCAGGGTTAGAAGATTGCTTCCCTTTAGCTGTGTGACCTTGGATAAGTGACTTAGTGTCTCTGAGCTTTTTGTTAGGAGAACAGAAATAGTAACAGTACATAGGTAAAGTGTATGAAGTGCTTGATATAGTTCTAGCACATAATAATGGTTCATATAATACTTATGGTCCATTGTTGTTGTTTAGTTATCTTGTTTCATTCTCTAAGTAAGCTCATTAAATAGGGATTGTGATTATTTTACAGGTGAGACACTGATTCTCAGGCAGCTTCTGTGTTCCTCATGGTCCCGTGGTGCTTACCAGTAGTTACTGACTTTCTGTCAGGGTTCTTTTTCTCCTGCTTTGCCTGCACATGTGAAAGAGCTCCATGAACATCTTGTGAAGTTGACAGCATATCTCAATAAGATATTAACCATCTCTGCAAAGATATTCAGACTTTAGAAAAATAAGATGATGTCATAGATTCAACAGACTTTTATATTTTTCTTTGTTCAAGTCCCAAATCAAATTGGAATTAACTGTATAGGCAAAGGATTAGCTACAAGATGTTCATTATAGCTTGATTATGTAATCAAGACTGTGAAACAACCTAAATGCTCAACAATTAAAGATGGCTTAGATCAGTCGTAGTGTGCAGTTAAAATGAAGTATTATATGACATCAAAAGGCAAAATGAAATAGTGTATTTGACTACATTGGAAAATTGTAAAAAAGAGTGTAGTTTTACGTGATAATAGCAGCTTATAAACTAGTTCATGAAATATGAATCCATCCCATAAAAGAAAATATGTTTTCATAAGTAGCAAATGTAAATATAATATATACACATATATGCACATATAAACATCTGGAAAGGTGTAACCAAAGCTGTCATCAATGGTTGCCTGTGTTGGAATGGGGAGGTGTTATGGGTAGTTAAAATTTTTTTCTTGTGTGTGTTTGGGAGGGGTGTTTCTTTATTTTCTGATCCTTATGTAATGTATAATGAATTTTAGTTACTAAAAAAAGAAATGGAAAGAAGAAATGTTCTAAGTCTCTTTGTGTGCTGACTCTGATTGAACTTTTCAGGTGATTGTGAAGACCAGAACGGAATATCAGCCAGAACAGAAGAACAAAGGGAAGTTCCGGGTGCCGAAAATCGCTGAATTTACGGTCAGTTTCTTGATGGTGTAACAGAAAGAGTAAAGGTAAGGCTGGCTTCTGCCAGCTCAGCACATCTTGCCCTCATGGAGCAGGCACTCCTGGGAGTGGAAGTGACACGGGCTGTTTCTGGAGGATGTCTCGAAGCCACATGGCTGGGTCACTGAGTTTAATTAAGCAACCAGAGCTCTCCCTCTGAGGTCTGCGCATGTGCTGTCCTACTCTGCAATGCTCGGACAAACTCAGTAACTGATAACTCTCAATTCCTCCTCTTTCCTCTTGCCCTCTTCTTCCTGCTCCCTCATCACAAGCTTTAGGGAATGAGAGGGAGAGTTTCTTGTGTGAAGGAGCTACAATTTTAGTAAGTAGATATGGTTGTAACAAATATGAAAAAGACAAATGGGAAGAAAAGCTGGCTTCTTTGGCGACAGTCTATCTCTAGGTGGATCCATCGCAGGAGCACTAATAAATATGTACCCTTAGCTGTGTGGTTCACATGAAGGAGCCATGAAGGCTTCTCTGTGAGGATGGAAGGAGGAGCCTCAGGAATGTGCCCCAGGGAAGTCACGTGGGACTTGAGACAGGAGAGGCGAGTGGACATTAACAGGCACATTGTAATATGACAGTGCTGGTGGCTAAGGAGAGCCCAGCTTGTGTGAAGGCCCTGAGGCTGGAGGGAGGTCAGCCCCAACACCAAGTAGGAATAAGTACAGTGCATCTGGGGCCAGCAGGTGGTGTGGTAGTTAAGGAACTGGACTCCTACATGACCAACCAAGGTACTAGTCTCAGACCTGGCAGCTTGCTTTCTCACTTTCTCTCTCTCTCTCTCTCTCTTTGTCTTTCTCTGGTGAGTGCATGTGCCCTATAACAAATTAAAAGATAATAATAATAATAAAATTAAATAAATTCTTAAAAGAAAAAGAACAGTGCAGTGAGGCTCTAGGAGGGGGCAGACAGAGATTGGGTAAGAGAAGTAGACAGAGGAGGATAACTCCAGGCTTTGGAGGCCATACAGAAGAATATAGGTTTTCTTCTCAAAGAAACAGGAAGCCTCTGAAGGACTTCAAGAAGAAGAAGGACATGAATAAATTTGGGTTTTGGAAGCAACATGCTGGCTTTTCCGTGGCTGATGAGGTATAGTTAGAAAGAGGGCACACTGGGAGACTATTAGGCTACTGCAATTGTCCACATTAAGAGAAAAAAGAGTGAAGGAGACAAGGCAGGTGGATAGACAGATGCTGGCGGCCTAAAGGGTGTGTAGAGGCCCGTCGGCCGTGGACGCTGCAGTTATGGGTCTGGATGGAGAGTGGAGCCATCTGGCTGAGTGTGAGCCTTGTTTCCACTTTGTGCTAGTCATGTGGTCACAGGCAAGTCGCTAAGCCTCATTTATAAACGATGTGAGCACAGGGCTGCTGTGAAGACGAAGTGCAGGGCACACGCAGAGTGTTGGCATCCGCACAGAAGACGTGCACAATCCACAGCAGTTGTTCCATGTCCTCTGACCAGGACCTCCCTCGAAAGTGAAAACGGCCGGTTGTTTGGAAATGGAATGTTGAGAGAAAAAAGTGGAGATTGCAAATTGTGTGCTTTCTAGGACTGGAACTATGAAAAAACCCCAAATGCAGAGGAAAAAGCAACATAGAAAGAAATGTATCTGAGTGTTATCTGTGGCTCTGTTATCAATGGTGGTGTCGGACCAGGTTCTTTCCTCTTCCTCATTGACTCTTGGTGAGGTGACTAGGTTGTCAGATGAATGTGAGAGGCTGCTACAATCCCTTACTCCTCAGAGGGGAGCTGGCTCTGAGAAGTGACATCACTAGCTCCTGCATGGAGAGGCAGAACCCTTGTTCAGGCCAGTCCTGCCTGTCCTTCGCATTCTGCTGGCAGCAGGAAACTACAGCGCAGAGCAGAACCAAGGGCTGGGGGAGGGTCCGGGCCTGTGCAAGCCCCTCACAGTGCAGTCGGACTCGTCCACCCTGGCGGTGGGGAAGGAGGGCTTGTGATTCAGGAGCAGCCCTTTGTCAGGGGTGGGCGGAGAGAGGCTGTCACTTGGTGCAAAATGAGAGGAATGAAGCCAGTTCTCCTTCACTTATGTAAAGCTTCTAGTGCTAATTTGCCTGATTTTTGGCTCCCATAAGGAAAGCGCTCTCTCTAGAAACCGCGTGGACCAGCATCTGCCAGGGAGCGGGTGGGCACTGGAGACAAGGGAAGAGGCCCTGAGGTGATTAAGAGGGTTTGAAGGTCTGGGCTGGGTCAGCTTGCTGGGGCTTAGGCCCAGGCAGAGATGCCATGGAAGTGTCCCTGGTTGCAGCGAGCAGGGACCCCCAGGGTACTTCCCACTGAGGTAGCAGCTGGAAGAGATGCTTTGTGCGGGAGGTGCCTGGAAGTCGCCCTTGGATGTAGCTAACAGTCTGGAGCTCTGGGTGGAGCCCTCAATGGGAGAACCGTGGAGGACAGTCAGAAAATTTACAGTTGGCACTGGAGAGCTTGGTACAGGTAAACAGTTGCTGGCTACCCTTCGAGATGTATTGCCCAGGGCTGAGGTAATCTTCGGCACTACAGAGTACATCCTCTCTCAACTTCAGCCCCTTCGTGGAGGTGAACAGCTGTGGCTGCATTTCACAACTGGCCCGAGAGAGCAGTTCCTAGCATGACATGTGAGAGAAAGGGACAGGAGTTCAGGGTGGAGAGAGATGAACTGAGAGAGACTGTGGAAGAATTGCCTGAGGCTTTTATCATTTTTAAAGCCAAGGAGGCTCTTGCAGTTCCACAGGGTCTCAGACTTGAAAGATTTCCATCAGGCTTATCAGAAAAGGGGGGAACATGCAGTGAAGAGGCCCCACCTTTCTTAATCCTGAGAGCTGGGGGTTCTTCTAAAACTGATTTTGCTCTGGGTGGGTGGGGGAGCGGTGCTGATGTCATGGGGGTGCTGATGTCATAGAAGGTATGGTGCCATGGAGGGTGCTGGTGCCATGGAGAGTGCTGGTACTTTGGAGAGTGCTAGTGCTCTGGGGGGGTGCTGGTGCCATGGAAGGTGCTGATGCTATGGAGGATGCTCGTGCCATGGGGGGTGCTGATGCTATGGAGGGTGCTGGCGCCATAGAAGGTATGGTGCCATGGAGGGTGCTGGTGCCATGGGGAGTGCTGATGCTATGAAGGGTGCTAGTTCTCTGGCAGGTGCTGCTGCCATGCCCAGCTGTTCCTGGGCTGGCCCGTGTGTGGGAACTGAGTGCTACATTTGGTGTCATGTATGTTAGACTGATGAAAGCCATTCTGGGGGATCTTTGGGCTTTGAAGCTGGTCTCACCTGGGCATCTCCCATCTTAGCCTTGCCATCTTTACCTTCATAACCTTGGGCAAGACCCTTCATCCCTCTGAGTTCTTGACTCCTCATCAATAAAACTGGGACATAAGTAGTATATGCCCCCGTTGTACTTGGAAGGCTTACTAAGTCAGTGTTTTCTTTCCTTCCTATTCCCACCCCTTTGCTGCCTCCTAGGTTCTTGGTCTCCTACCTAACTACCTGGATTTATTTGTTGTTGGGCTCTGGGTCTCCCTTTCCTGGCTTTTTTCCATGGGAATGTGATTGGGAAAACCTCTGGGAAATGTTCCAGGGGTACACAGTTCAGTGTCAGGACTCTGGTGGTCTCTGGCTATCAACAGTGACCCCGAAGCCATGTCTTTGCCTACTGTTAAGTATAGGTTATATGGTTTTATCGATTTATTTTTTAGAGAGATTTTTGCTATAGGGCACATGTGGTTGCCAGAGAGAGACAGAGACAGAGAGATACAGAGACAGAGAGAGACAGAGAGACAGAAAGCGATAAATCACCCCCAGGGAGGATGGCCATATTTCTATTCCTTCTCCTCCATTTTCCTCTTGGGATCTTGGGCAAGCACACACCTGGCATGAGTTGCAAGCCACTGGTCTGGGACTTGAACCGTGGTCGACCGTGGGTGAGTCCAGCGATGTAACCATTATGCCATCTGCTGGTCCATAGGTTATTTTTTCATAGCCTGTTTTTCAATACCTTGGCTAAAACATGAATAGTCACAATGTGTTAGAAGTGCCTTTACACCCGCTCTTCAGCCCACCCACCTTGTGAACCAGGTACTCTCACATGCTATTCCCACTTTACAGGTGGGGAAGCTAATGCTCAGAGAAGCAAAGTGACTTCCTAAAGTCACTCAGCCAGGAAGCACCAAACAAAGTGAGAACCTGATTCTGGGGCTGCACATCCCACTCTCCGCCACACCTGAGGGTTCCCCTGCCATTGTCCTCCCTATGACCTTTGTCGACATCTGCCCTGGCTAGGCACAATGCCTGTTCCTGGGAGACACAAAGATGGGTAAGACAGAATCCCTGCTCTCAAATGCAAGGATTAGGCAAGAAATATTGCTGCCAGCTTTTCAGATGTTCTGTTCCTATAGGGTCACCTCCTCTTGGACCCATGCCCTATTCCTCTCAACCTGGCTTGGGCTTCCTCTAGTTGTGCAGGGTCATGTGGGGGCCCCCATAACAGCTGTGGTCTGACTGCTTCTGCAGCCCCCAAGGGTGCAGCCCCCACAGGTGCAACCTCCACAGGCCTCTGATCCCTAGAGGGCAGGGAAATGTCTGGCCCACCTCTGTTGCCATTTTCCAGCATGGGCCTGACATGGAGAGGTGCTGGGAGCGTCGTAGTGTGGGATGGTTTTAATATTCATCCCTAGCCACATGACCTGTTTCAGGAGTCAGAAAATATGGCTCCTTTGGCGTGCCATGGGGGGTGCTGATGCTATGGAGGGTGCTGGCGCCATAGAAGGTATGGTGCCATGGAGGGTGCTGGTGCCATGGGGAGTGCTGATGCTATGAAGGGTGCTAGTTCTCTGGCAGGTGCTGCTGCCATGCCCAGCTGTTCCTGGGCTGGCCCGTGTGTGGGAACTGAGTGCTACATTTGGTGTCATGTATGTTAGACTGATGAAAGCCATTCTGGGGGATCTTTGGGCTTTGAAGCTGGTCTCACCTGGGCATC